TGTTGGATGTGTGGTTGCTGCTGTGGTTATTGTGGTAGTTGTGGTAGCATCCGGATCGGAGGTGGTGCTAGGGTTGATATCGAGGGATTCGAGGCTAGCTGCCCCGCAGTTGCTCTCGGGAGCTATCGTGGTTGTGGTTGTGTTTGTTAGGCTTGCCGGGCCGGCGTCAGAGCTGGTTTCCCAGCGATTGGTTCCGAGAGCAACATGATGGCTGTTATTGTTGGACCGATAGAAACCATGTCGGTATAATTTGTTGATGTGCTGATGGTAAACGATGGTGGGTGATGATGGGCGGTGAATTTTTGAGAGTATAAATGGCAATCAGTGATCGGGGAAACCTGTTGCATCATCAAGTTGAAGTTGTTCAGCCAACTTCAGATGGAAGTGGTGGAACTGGTTGTTCACCACAAGGGAACTGGCCTGACTACCTTATCTTTAAGCAAACGACGCTATTTCCACAAGCTGGGCCCCCACCGGCACAATTCACCAATTGGATCCTATTTGCAGCACAAGAAGCACGGTATGACGGTATGACTGACACCGACTCGAGTCATCAACCCCGGACTCATGCATTGAGGACGGCTGCCAAGAGTCACAGCGCCCCCAAAACAAGGGTAGGGATCGGGATAATCAGCCGAGTTAGCCTCTCGATGCAGGCAACAACGCCAGTATGCAAATGGTGAGAAACGCTTCAATTAGGTTGTGTAGTTCTGGGTATCGTTTAAAGGCGAGAGGCATCCAATCCATCGCGCTCAAAACATGTCCTTCAAATGCTGATAAACACTCGCATCCTTCTGTCCCGCTAACCCGTCCCCTCCCCCCAAACCCCCCCGTAATGCCAAGCCCCGGGCTGCCATAGCCCATATCCGCAGTCCCAGGCCCCGGCACGCTGCCACCAGCAGCCACAGCCGTCCTGCCCGTGTAGCCCTCATAGATGCGTAGCATCTCACTCTGTAGCCGCTGCCCGTTGCTGAGGGGGTCATCGAGCTGCATCGGCTGGGACGTGCCCGGGGTGGGCGCCGGCGGGCTGGCCACGCTCCTAGTGCGACCCCGGCTGCCCGGCCGGCTGGGATCGCCGCTGTGGAACAGTCCCGGCACGCTGGGGCTGTAGCCGGAGCTGCCGCTGCTACTGCCGGCGCCGCTGATGTGCGCATACGGAGATGCCGCGGTGGGGAGGCGGGCCGAGCTGTCCCCGAGGCCCAGCTTGGGCGCGTACGCGCGCAGCGACCGGATGGTGCGCCACAAGCGGTGCGAGACCCAGGACCGCGACGACATCTCCTTGACGAGATCGAGCGCCATGTAAAACTCGTCGCGGCACATGGCGCTGAACAGGAGGGGCGCGTGCGTGGAGGCGAGGAACAGCACCGCGATGGCCGAGGTGAGGAACTGGTGGTAGAAGACTTGGATGCGGCGGTAGAGGTCGGTTTCGCTGTTGAGGTGCGCGAGGAGGCGGATGGTCTGCTGGGCCAGGTCGACGGCCTTCCGGGCGAGTGGCACGTTCTCGGAAATACTAGTTGCGCTGTGTAGAACGGGGGTGTAAAGCCAGATTCGCAGCTGGGACGGGTCAGTCAAGGACGAGATAAGCTCAAAACAGACGGCGACATACTTGGTTCAGCCTCAGCCAGGTCCAGACACGCAGCCGCTGGAGGTCGAACGGCCCCGAAGGAACCGACGGCTCGCCGTTATCCAACGGGAGGGTTTGCATCTCCTCGGGCACGCTCTGGTACCACTCCATGATCTCGCGGTCGAGCTCGTCAAAGTCGTGGGGCTTCAGCTCCCGGATGACGGCGGGCTCAAAGTAGTCGACCAGCCTCCATATCTTGGCACCGAGCCTCGAGTATCCGATCATGGCTATCAAAAACGGATGGCCCTCCTAAAGCATGTCAGCAATGCCACTAAAAGGGTCCCTCTCGAGATCTCCTACCGGGTACGGCAAATTCGGATCAATCTTGTCGTCGTGGCACACGAATGGCAGGCCTGTGCTAAAACTCCACCGGCGGTCCAGCACGTAGGCCGACCAAAAGGTATGCAGCGCGTTCCGGCGAAGCTGCGGGTCGGCAATCTTCTGCAGTCCCTCGCGGCGGTGCAGGCCGAGCTCGAAACACAGCCGCGAGACCTGGCCGATCAGGCGCCACGCGAGAACCTCGTCGTTGGAGAGGTAGCGGTAGCCAGCGCACAGGGCGAGGAAGGACAGCCGGCTCACGTCGGCCGCCTCGCTGGTGAGCATTTTGTCGACGGTCGGCTGGACGCTGTCGTAGAGCCGCACCGCCCGGTCGCTGTTGCCATGCTCGGCCACTACCAGAGCGCAGCACAGGAGGATCTTGAGCAGCAGCGTCTTGGGGTCCAAGACCATCTGCTCCAGGCCGGGCGGGGGGGCCGCGCCAGTCCGTCTCGCCGTGTCGGCCCAGGCGGCGAGGTGCTTGATGTGCTCTTTGACGGAGCCGATGGATGTCACGGGGTACATGACGTTGATTTCCTCGCAGTAGACATCCAGCAGGCGCATCATTTCGTTCTCGTCGAGCTCCCAAATGGGGTCAACGGCGCCTTGTGAGGGGACATCGGGGAACACGGGGGGCAGCGAAGGGGACGCGTGGGGCGTCGAATCCGGCTGTGTCCCGCTGTCCTCGTTACTGTCCCCGTTGCCGTCCGCCACGCCAGAATAGCCCATCTTATGCAGGGTATTCTTGGCGACGCCGACGGTAAAAGCGAGGCTGGTGGGCCCGTTGAAGTAAGAGGGAACTCGGAAGGGGAGGGCGGGCCGCTGGTAGGTGCTGGACGAGGCCGAGGGAGAGGGCGTGGCAGCGGCCGAGGGAAGTGGGAGCATACGTTCCTGCAAAGGGGCGAGGCGCGCCGTCTCCTGGCGCAGCGAGTTCATGGAATTGAAGAGGGTGTCGACGTGTTCCTGCAGCTGTCTGATCTGATCGGCCATCTGCCTGAACTCATCCGAGTCCTTGAAGTTGGAACAGCAGTTGGGAGCATAGAGGCATTGCAGATTGAGGTGGCCGCATCGTTGGCAGGGCGTCTGGCCGTTGCACTTGATCTTGCGGCGTTTGCACTCGTTACTGTGATGGGGTGAAAAGGCAAGGTCAGGAATTCCAATCTCTGCTGTCTCTCAGGGTTCGCAAGCGAGATGCGTGGGTTGGACGAGTGGGTGCTTCTGCCGCCGCTGCTTGGTATGTATGCACCAACATGCGGGTAACCGTCGCACCAGGGGGAGGGGGCCAGGGACCTCAAAAGCTTAAAAACTCACCATGCAATCGAGATGTACTACGGGGAGCAGCGACAAAGCCCGACGGTTAGCCAAGCGAACAGCGAAGAACAACCAACAACCACCACATCCACATCCACAACCACAGCTACAACCACAACAACGACAACGACAATAATAAGAAACAGGCTTACTCGATTTCTTTTGCTTCTCTGCTGCCTAGTTGGGCCATCATCATCCTCCTCGGCCCTCCTCTTCGCATTGGCACTGCTGCCGGCGGCATGGGCATCGAGCGGTGACTGGGGGTGGTGGTGCTGAGGTGCGGAATTGTCTCCGGGGGCGGAAAAGGGCGATTGATGACTGTTGGATCGATGTGGACCAACATCATGCGGCGACACGACCTGTTGGGCTGCTTCCGGACCCTGCGGAGCCGCTGTCGTCTCCAGGAAAGAGCGCAAATCGCTGACCTGGGTTTCGAGCTGATCCATTGACACAGACCGTCATTACCTTTGTAGTGGCTCAGTGTGCGCAAATGTGCCGCTCCTCTCCCAGAATCGCCCGCTGAACAGGAGTTCGGGTTTTCCGCACTTGCCGAGAACCGCGCCTTGGGCCGACAGGAAGAACGCGCCCATCGGCTCAAGGCGCTGTCCCACAACCCTAGCCCCTTGAGTGGAGAGACACGTGATGCCCGCTGGTTTTGGTCCTTTCATCTTTTGGGCGTCAGATCATGCACGGGTCATCATCAAGCCCGCTTGCTCTTTCACGATTCTTGGCAGAAATTTGAATTTGGTGTGGGCTGTTTCTGGGACGAAATTGCAGCATGGACTCAGTGCACTGCACTGCAGCAGTGAGTGCCATTGTTGCTTTTTAGAGTTATTGATTGTGTCACTTTCTGGCATCAGACCCGGGAATAATGGAACACAATTCTACATCGGTATGTACCTCAGGTACCTATGGGTCAATTCAGTTACTGCTGCAGAGCGCTGTAAATCCGGCCCCGACACTCCCCAAAGCCAACCCTTGCACCCTCCTCCCCACAAAACCCACGCAGCGTAACGGTGTCCCCATCCTTGAGAAACGTTCGTGCATCCATCCCGGCCAGCAGGACCTCCTTCTTTCCGTTCTCGGTCATCTCCAGCAAGCTGCCGCGCTCGTTGACCCCGCCGGGCCCGCTGATGGTACCGGACCCGAGCAGATCGCCGGCGCGCATGGGGCAGCCGCCGAGCGTGTGATGCGCCAGCATCTGCGGGAACGACCAGATCAAGTTCTTGGAGCTGGTGCGCCCGATAGTGGTGGTGTCGCCCTCGGCGGCTGGTAAATGGTGTTAGTCAGTCTCAACAAACAGGAACATTAACAACAGGAAACAGGAAAAGCACAGAACAAAAAAAAAAAAAAAAAAAAAAAAAAACACTCACTCATCAAATCCACCTCCTAACGCAACATCAAACACCCCCTCCGCCCTCCCTTCCCTCAAATACCCCAACACCTCCGGCCGCCCCTCCACCTGCACCCCCCTCGCACGAAACGGCTCCAACGCATCCGCCAGCACCACCCACGGACTGACGGTGCTCGCAAAATTCTTGCCATTGAACGGGCCTAGCGGCACGTACTCCCACGTCTGTACGTCGCGCGCGCTCCAATCATTCAGCAGCACATATCCAAAGATATACTCGTCCGCCTCGTCCACCCCAATCCCCCGCCCCATCGCGTTGCCCCGCGCCAGGAAACACCCCAGCTCCAGCTCGATGTCGAGTTTGCGCGACGGGGCCGTGGTGGGCTGTGGTTGTTGCTCACCAGCCTGGGGGGTGAGGAGGATCTGCCCCGTGGGCCGGTGGATGGGGGTGCCCGAGACGACGATGCTGGAGGCGCGGCCGTGGTAGCCGACGGGGAGGTGCAGGTAGTTGGGCTGGAGGGCGTGGGCGGGGCCGCGGAACATGGCGCCGACCGCGAAGGCGTGGTGGTAGCCCGCGTAGAAGTCGGTGTAGTCGCCGATGGTCATGGGGAGGTGGGAGCGGATGGTGGATTGCGGGAGGAGGGCGCGGGCGCGGAGGGTGGCGTTGTCGCGGAGCAGGGAGGGGTGGGTGGTGGTGGTGGAGAGGAGGTCTTGGAGGGCGCTGCGGACTTGGCGGTGGATGGGCCGGCCCATCTCGGCGAAGGTGTTGAGTGCGGGTTGGGAGAAGGCTTCGGCGAGGCCGTTGATGTTGGGGAAAAGCTGGGATAGGAAGTCGGGTTCGGTAGATAGGACTTTGAGGTCGAGGGCGTATGAGCCGATCGCTACGGCGGCGTGCGGCGCGGGGTCATCTGGAGTTGAGATGATGCCGAAGGGGATGTTGGCCAGCGAGAAGTCGCTGGCCGGGTCGATATCGGGCACCCATGAGCTTGCCATCTTGAGTTGGGGTGTGTTGGTTTAGACGATGTCCGTTATGCCGGGCTTTGAGGCATGCGGGAGGTTTGTTGATGCTGTGATATTTTATGTCTGTCTGCCGTTGACATCGGAGCCTCCGCGGGGCAGCCCGACGCAAGCCGAAGCTCCACTTATCCCGTGCCGCACCGTTCCGCGCTGTCGGAGCCGAGCGGTGGGTTCTCCATTCCGTATCCACCAGAGTCTCGGGCGGGATATGAGCTAGTTGCCGGTTAGGTGCAGAGAGATGTACGACACAAGCTTTAACTTCGAGGAGAGGTTGATAGGCAGGCACATGCCAGAGCAGGCAAGAATAAGGTATCATTTATCGAAGAGGGAGGGAGGCCTGTGCTTGGGTGCCACTGAGTCCCCAATGTAGAACCACCCGCCCTCCACTTATACACACAGGAGTGACCGTGCCGCGCGCAGCCGGCACGCCAAAGGAGCCTGGAGGAACGTCTTCTAGAACTAGTTAGTTGTTTGAGGGCTTTTTTTCTGCAAATCTGTGATGTTATGGTTGGCAGTTGGCGGTACGCAGCTATCGCTGCCATTAAAGTTGCTTCTCCTCACCTAGAATTGCGAGAGTCAACCATGTCATTTTTTTTTTTTTTTTTATTTTTTTTTTCTTCATTTCATGATGGTTATTTACAAATGCTGGGAAAGTAAGGAAATGTGGTTTCTTCAGCCAGACTTGCGTCTAATCGTATAGTCGCGCCCTCTTTTTTCCCGCTGTAGACCTTTTGCTTCGGATCGGCTCCGGAGAAGTTTGCTTCTTTCTCTTTCTTGTTGGAGTGGTGTCCACCGGAGCGAGTTGATCTTCCAACAACTGCTCTGCGTTTGAACCGTCGTCGGTGTGATCGGTATCTTGTTGGTGGTTAGCCTAGTTAGTGAGCTCCAAGGAAGTCATACCTGGGCTTGAAATTGTAAGCACTGGCTCGGCGTGGGTTGTGGTCGAGTTCGGCGGTGCTTCAAGGGTGGCCGGTGGCTCGGTTGCCTCATGATCCGGATGCTTCCGGGGCTGTGCCGGGTTTTTTTCTTTATTTGCCAATGAGTTTTGGCCGCCAACGGGTGAGGAGAATGGGTTCCAGCTTGTGATTCCTCGTGGACCGGTTGAGCGTGGTGTTGTAGGCACTGTGCTAGGTCGTATGGGTGTCGTGTTGTGAGCGGTTAAACTGCTTTGTCGAATAGACTCCCAGTCGTCTGGAAGAACTACTGGGATGCGAACGCCTGTGTCGACGAGTTGAGGGCCTTGGATGAGGTTTCGATCGAGTACTTCCAGGAGGCGACCGCTGCATGCGATCCAGGATCCTCTTGGAAATGGGTTGACAACTGTTCGCATCCAACCGGCTAACGACTTCCACGGTTGTTGTTCAACGGGAAAGACGAAGGACAGCAGCGTGACGGCAACTATCCAGGGCAGGCAAGCGAATCTGTCTTCTGCGCATGACGATGGGCCTCATGGGAGCCCACAGTGGCACATTCACAGAGACGGAGGGTCAGCGGACGAAGTCGGTCTGGGCGGACAGATGCAGCTCGAGTTCGGCCGTTATGCGACGTACGACGATGTCGCCTTTGGGCTTACGAGGCACTGGACCCTAAACAAGCTCCAGTCGCTGACGGTATTAATACCAGAAGCGTTCCTTGACGACCGCGGCACGCGGCTGCAAGAAGAGGGGGGCCGGCAGCACTTCCAGTACGTCGGCGGCGAGGGCGGCACGGGCAAATCTCGCGTCATTCATGCCATCAAGGACATGTTCCGGCTGAAGCACGGTCTCTACACGCTGCTCCTAACGGGCACCAGCGGTAACGCGGCCGCGCTTATCGGCGGAGTGACGCTGCACTCGGCGGCAAATATTGCGTTTGAGGGCAGGGCAGCGACAGCAAAGAACATCTCGGAAGAAGAGAAGCTGCGGTGGAAAAACATGATCATGCTGGTTATCGACGAGATCAGCCAGGTGGGCGGTCTCACGCTCGCGGCGGTGGACAGCCGCCTGAAGCAGTACAGAGACGACCAGCATCGACCGTTCGGCGGGATCCCAATGGTCATATTCTTTGGTGACTTCTTCCAGTTCAACCCCGTCCTGCAGACCAGCCTCCTCTTGCCAAGGCCTAGGGACCGCGGCGGACAGAGACCAGAGAGCTCGGCAAAGCACCTAGCTGCGCATAGGCTGTTCCTCCAGTTCACGAACGTCGTCATCCTCCGCGAACAGGTCCGCGCAGCCGGCTGTCCAAGGCTGCGGGGCTTCCTCCGGCGCCTGCGCAACGGTGATCAGACCGAGCTGGACTTCCAGCGGCTATGCCACCGCCTCCATACACCGTCGTGCGAGTCCTCGTTCGTAGATGGCTTGAGAGCCATCACGCCTCTGAACCAAGATCGGTGGGACCCGAACATGGCGGCCGTCGTCCAGTGGGCTCGTGCCCACGGCAAGCACATTTCCATCTTTATGGCCAAGCACGATACTGAGTCGCGATTGAGTGCGGGGGACCTATGCCACGTGCTCCGCTACGGAGACGACTCACAGCTGCCGACCCCCGGCCTGTTCTTCTACGCCCAAGGCATGCCGGTCGTGGTGACTCGCAACCAATTTGTCGGGCTGAAGGTGGTCAACGGGGCGCCTTTCCAAGGCCGTCGACATCTTTCCCCGACCTCGCCGCCGGCACCATCGCCCTCGCCAATGACGTGACTCTTCATCTTGGACCGCCGATGGCCGTCCTCCTTCAGTCGGACGATAGCGCGGACCTCGCCATCCCCGGGCTCCCCAACGGCACCGTCTTGATCAAGAGCAAGACGGTCGCCATCCCGAGCCAAATGCGGGGCAACAGAAGGCAGATGGGGGCCCAAGCCGGGTTTCAGATGGGTCACTCCACCGAACGGGGCCTCTTTGCACTCCCGGCCTTCGCTATGACAGATCAGAGGAGCCAAGGCAAGCAGTTCTCCAACGTCCTCATCAACCTCAAAGGCGTCCACTCGAGTGGCACGGCGACTCGACCCAGCTTCATGAGCCTGTACGTGCAGCTGTCGAGGGCGCAGAGCTGGGACGGGCTGCATCTGGTTTCCGGAAACCGGGGG